GAACGAAGACTCCTCCTACCCCCCTGCTCCGCGAGAGCAGCCCCCCCACCCCCCCGGAAAAAAACACATGTGAGGCTACTGTTTGGCGGGCTCCAGAAGGAGAGCCCGCTGCCCCCCCAGGAGAAAACATTGGTACTGTTTTTGTTATTGGGTTCCGGGAGGGGTGGGGGTGGAGGGCTCCGGGAACAAACATCCGAACCCGACAAACAGAAACGCTGATCGGGAATTTGTGTTGGTGAGCTCCGGGAAAACGACTCCCCTACTCCCACCAAGAACTTCAAGTGAGGGTGGGTTTTTGGAGGCAAGGGGAAAGCCATCCGACTTTCCGTTTCAAAAGGGTTGGGTGGTGTTTTGGAGGGTTCCGGGGGTGTTTGTGGGGGGTCCGACAGACCCCCTCCCAGACCCCCTTGCAAAACCCCCCATTGAGGGTTTTTTTGTTTGCAGGCTCCAAGCGCCCAAACCCCACCCCCCCAAAACCGTGCCTTGAGGATTGATTTGGAAGGGTTCTGGAGATAACCTCACGTCCCCAAACACCCTTCTTCAAGGAGGGGGTCGGGGCTCTGGGGACAAACAACTACCCGAATCCCTTCCAAAACCTGATTTGATTTTTTTTTGGGGGGGTGGTTCTGGGGGGAAATTCTCCGACCACCTTACAAAATAACCTGGCGGAATACCCACGCACATGCATTTGTGAATACTGTTGTTGCGGGGAAAAGGTGTGTCGATATGGGGCGTGGCCGCCATGTGGGCGCTGCCACTGGGACTTTACGTGGAAGCCACTGTCACGCCGCGAGGCGTGTGAGGGATGCGCCACACTGGGGCGGGGCCAGGGCCACGAAACGCTGTACGAAGTGGGAGAAACGCATGCGAACACCGCCACTGGGGCCTTCGGTTGAACTCACTACGAGGCCATTAAGCGCTGCACTGGGTGGGGGAGACGCATGCGAACACCGCCGCTGGGGCCCTCGGCGGAGCCCCCTATGGGCAACGATGAGCCGCATGCGAACACCGCCGCTGAGGCTTTCGGTGGGGCTCTCGATGGCGCCACGATTGTGGGGGAGACGCGTGCGAACACCACCACGGGGGCATTGCGCGGAGCTCCCCATGAGGGGGGGCGCATGCGAACACCGCCACTGGGGCGTTCGGTTGAGCTTCCAATTGGGCTACGAAGCGCTGTGCCAGGTAGGGGACACGCATGCGAAAACCGCCACTCACGCCTTTTGTGGAACTCCCTATTGGGCCACGTAGCGCTGTACTGGGCCGGGGAGACGCATGCGAAGGGTGACTTCCGTATAGGGTCAAGAAACGCTTTACTGGGCGGGGGAGACGCATGCGAACGCCGTCATTGGGGCCGTCGGTGGAGCTCCCTATGGGGCCACGAACCGCTGTACTGGGTGGGGGAGACTCAAGTGAACACCGACACTGAGGCCTTCGGTGGAGCTCCTTATACTGCTACGGAAAGGTGCACTGAGCGAAAGATGAGGAGGATGAGGAAGAGGAAGAGGAGGAGGAGGAGGAGGAGGAGGAGGAGGAGGAGGAGGAGGAGGAGGAGGAGGAGGGGGAGGAGGAGGAGGAGGAGGAGGAGGAGGAGAAGAAAGAGGGGGAGGAATGAATGAATGCATGGCTGAATGAACGAATGAATGAATGAATTGCCGTTGCGAACCACTGCCTGTTGTCAGCTGAGGCGGATGCCAGTGGTGCACCGGCTTCAGACAGCCCACGCTGTGAGATTCACTAGGGCCACCGACGAGACGAGAGCGGCGAACGGGCCAGGGGACGCAAGGAGAGCCAACGAGGGACCGACGGGAAAGCCGAGGGGCCGAGGGCCACGAGAGGGGGAGGACGAACAAGAGAGCGGGGACAAGTAGACATCCGAAGGCTCTCGGCTGCGATGCGATCGCCTACCAGCGGCTACCGCTGGAAGGACGGCCTTCTCTGGCATATGGAGGGACAGCAACAGGGGACACCAAACTGCCCGCCTGCGGCACTATCCTTCCTGAGTGGGAAACAGGGAAGGGAAAAAAGAGCAAGGGACAGGGCGGGGTAAAGCGAGCTAGGTCGCAACACTGCCCACCTGCAATTCAATCCGCTTCAGCGTTCGGGTTGGGGCTGGGGTGCATGAGCCTGCTGGAAACATTATGAGCGGGCTGAAGCGGGATCCTCTGCACATTCACGTCCATACCCCGAACCTGCGAGCAACGCTGGTGGAATTCAGCTTTGGAAATCGTGGTGGCGGGATCTTCCTCGCCGTGCCCATGCAGCAAAATTCTGCTGTAATCTAGCTAGTGCGCTGCTCGAGAGCTGACCCCTACAGACCATGTCAGACATGCGCTCCGACACATTCGTTTCGATCCGTATCATCGGTGGCAAGCTCAACACTCTTCTTCGCTGTCTGATCCTGCCATATTCTCCTCTGCCGTCCTGTCGTCCTGCACCCCTAGCTGCTTCATCAGGCGATCTGCTTCGCGCTCGCGGCGCTCCGCCCGCGCGGCATTCCCCCCCCGCTCGTGCTGGATGGCCCTGCACAAGGCCTGGTGGAGGGGGGGGGATGTTATCCTGCGTGTCCGTATCCTTGATGGAGTTGGCATGGGCATTGGGGCGCATCCTCAACTGGAGTTTGAATATGGTGGTTGAAAATGGTCGTACCAGGAGGCCTTTACCCCGAGGAAGCGGATATGCTCTTGCAGGTGGGTCAGCGTCTCCGCATTCGCGAGCGTGGTGACGTAGCCCCAGCAGGCCTTCAGCACCTTTAGCGCCATGCGTCCATCGTCTTCTGGGTGCTGACGTGGTAATTGGGGCCGAAGAGAACGTGCGGCCACGGAGGGCCGATCCCGTGGTCCTTCCCCTTGTCCTTGGAGTCCGTGACATCGGACCTGCCTGCGTCCTGCATGCACTCTATGAGCGGCGCTCGTGCTGGGAGCATATAGCACGTGAAGCACGCGCCTGTTAGATCTGCGAGCTGCCTGCCGCTCGAGAGGCTGAGCTTGGCCAAGATGGCCATCAGCGCCATAAGGCGGCCCATCTTGTTCGTGTTGCTGTCCTTGGCGATCTGCTCCGCGAGCCTGGTGCGCTTGCCCTGCTGGCTGGTCCCGATGTCGTCATCCTTGCGCTTGCCGCCGGCTGCCTGCTATCATCCACTCTGGGCGGTCCACTGGACGGTCCACTGCCATGGTCTGCTGCTCTATCGGTGCTGCTGCCGCTGCCGCCGCTCGCTCTGGCATTCTCCAGGGCAAAGAGGTAGAGAAAGTGAGAGCGACAATGTGCACGTAAGCTTGCAAAGTCCACTGTTTGAGCCGTGCACAACGGACGTTAGAGTTGGTCCTTTTGGTCAGGGTTCTGAATGTTGTACTTCTGTTTGTTACGCAAATACCTGCCTCGACGGAGTGAATCAAATGCTTGTACACTGAGTTGCTGCTCTCAAAGACGCTCTCACATGCAAAGCAAAACGTTGGAGGTAATTGCCAGGCCCAAGATCGATTTGAGTGGGTGATGTTTGTGTATGTGCACCAGGAGTTGCCGGTTAGCATGGAATCGACGTGGGCAGCCTGGAACTGGACACTGCAGGATGGGCTCGGGGTCTTGAAGGACAAGAACATGGTCCGCCTCCAGCGAATGGGATTTAGGTGGAATAGATACACGTAACCAATGCGTTCGTAGCTTCTTCGTGCCAGCCCTCGGAAACCACTCGGCCAAGGAGGATACGCGGGGAGCTCTCTTTTTTAAAACGAAGACCCAACACCACATGATGACTAGTAACAAACCATGACGGGGATTGCTGGAGGTTTTTCTAGGGGTGAGGGGTTTCAGGAGGGGTAGGAGGAGTGGGACGGGGGAGGGGGATGAGATGGAAAAGGTGGGAAGGGGGGGGGGGGAGTAGGATGGGAGAGGGAGGAAACGAAGGGGCAGGGGTGGCAGGTTGAGGAGGGGGAGGATGGGGAGGGGGCGAGCTAGGTGCGCTCACGTCATGTCTGACGTCCTCCCCGTCCATCCCATCCTTACCATTGCACAGATTTCCTCTCTATTCGCACAGTCGAATGTCGAGCAGGGCCATGATCGCGAGAGGGTGCGCGACACATGGTAGAGCACGGCATGGCATGATGTGGAAGAGCACGGCAGAGCGTAGCATGCCATAGAATGGCGTAACATTGAGCAGTGAAGCATTGAATATCACAAAACGCTGAAACGCAAAACATGGCATCGAACAGCGGGGCAAAACACAACACCGCACAACATGTCAAGGCATGGCGCCGGGTTCCTTAGTGGATCGTCTTCGAAAAATCGGGGCCGGTCTGGAGTCGTGGCTCCATGTCTAGCTCCGTGCGCTCCCCGAAAACCTCAACACAAGGCGGGGCTGATGGAGAGCACCTGCTGGCTCTGCTTCCAACATCGCCTCCTCAAGGCAGAAACGGGGCCCCCGCTTGATACTTCTTGAAAGCGACGGCTCCCCAAAGTGGGGGGGGCTTCTGCGGCCCCAAAAATCAACGAACCGACACCGAATGTGGAATCACTTCCGATGATTTGTCCTGGGGGGCATGTTCTAAATTTTGGCGCCGATTTGGAAGGACCGAAAACGCCCGCGCTGCGGGAACACGATTTGGAACAACCAGAGGCGCAGAAATGGGGCCAGCGCTTCAGCGGGAACAACATTTTGAAACAAAACCAAGCGAAGACCCATTTCCCGTAAATCCTGCGTGTAACAAAAATCAATACGCTGAGGGGGGCCGAACATCTTGCGGACGTCGTCAGAAGAGAAAGGCGAGTTATATTCATAGTGTGTGACTGTAAGAGAGGAGGGGGATGGGTGAGAGGAGGAGGACGAGGACGAGGAAAAGGAGGAGGAAGAGGAGGAATGGGAATGGGAATGGGCAATTCGCGAAGCGAGCAGGAGGGAGGAGGAGGAGGACGAGCAACAGGAGGAGGAAAAGGAGGAAGAGGAGGACGAGGAGGGAGGCGGAGGAGGGCGACGACGCCGCCAGGTGCCCGCCCGCCGCCCCAGGCGCCTCCCAAGCCTCATCGGTGATCACCGGGGGCGGTTCCGCGGCCTGGCGGCGAGCCGGGCGGGCTCGGCCATCGGTCGCTCGCCGGCCGCCGCGTTTGCCGCTGGTCGTGCGCCAGTCGGTCGGTCGGCGTCGTCGTCGTTGTTGGTTGCCGTCGTCGTCGTCGTCGAAGTCGTTGCCGCCCTCGTCGCCGCTCGTCGCCGTCGTCGTCGCCGCCGCCGCGGCCGCCGCCGCCGCCGCCGTCGTCGTCGTCGTCGCCGCCGTCGTCGCCGTGGTCGTCATTGATGTGGCAGTATTCAGCTCGTCGTCGGACACTTTGGGGGAGACCAGTCCACCCTAGGATCCAATGGCATCCGCCACGCGCTTCACCTCTGCACGCCTTCGCCATGACAGACATCTGCTGGACCTCAAGCTACGGGAGCCTCTCGCAGCAAGCGCGGGCCAGGGAGAGCCTGGCTCAGGCCTGGCAGCGAGCCTCCGGGGTGCTCGGCCGCTGGATGGCCCCGAAGGCGAAGCTGCACACCCCTCGCGCTTGTTATAACAAAAACAGGTTGGCACGCCACCGCACCGCGCCCCTCGAGCACGCCTCCAACGAGAAAATTACCGCATCTCTCGGCATGCCGTGCAAAACTGAGTGGGCAGCGTGCTCGCCACAAACTGTGCGCATGACGATGCAGGAGGAGGGAGAGGGGGACCGAGACGCGTGGCAGCTGGAAAGCATAATGCTACGAAACGACATGCCAACGGCGGCATCAAAAAACCGAACGGGGGAAAATTCTGCTGTACTAAACAACCGTTTTTTTTTTTTTTTTTTTTTTTTTTTTTTAAAAAAAACCTTCCCTGTTTTGATATTTTGGTAGGGGAGGAAGAGGAGGAGGAAGAGGAGGAGGACGACGAGGAGAAGTAAGGGGGAGGCGGGAGTGGTTCTGAGGTGACGGAGGCTAAGAACGTAGGATATCGTTTGGAACTGCGTATTGTTGGCTGCTGGGAACAACCCCTTCCACTTCTCTGATCCTGCCGATCTCGAAGCTTCAGAATCAAGCTGACATGCCTCTTCCTCATATGTCATCTCTGACCACTTGTCATCCACTCATGCCTTGAGCCTGCAAGATCGACAACACTGGCATCACCAAACAAATTTTTGCTCACGAGACGGCTCCGCTTCGAGTCTCCCGTCAAACTGAATACTGATCCGCTGACCCCCTGCTTCAGAATGGTGAGGCCAACCTTGTGATCATGTCTCGTCTTCCCCCTGTTCCCTTTCCTGTTCCTGTTCCTCCTCCTCCTTCACATCCTCCTCCTATCGCGTCACTCTCGTCGCCAAGAGGACAAGGGTGATGGACCAGAGAACAGCGAGGGCGGTTGGAACATCTGGACGATATAGACATTGCCCATTCTCTATGTAGGAGCTGTGGTTGGCAAGTCGAATACGTTAAGGCGTAACATATCATGTTGCCCCACCCCATAACTAACAACAGATAAGGACGCAGTTGCGGCAGCTTCTGGCGCTGTCGTAACCGAGTCCCCCCCAGAGCTAACAATCGAGAAACATGCCTCATGGGCCTCCGAGGTCCTCCTAGGGAAGATACTCGTAGCGTGGTCTCACCTTCCTTCTGCTGTCTGTCCTGCCCCCCTGCCTGATCAGTTCCACCTCGACGCTGCGTGGCAGCCTGCACCAGAGGCAGGCAACAGCGGATGCAGCTGAGCTCGCCGAAGTGGGTAGGAGCTTGAAGTGGGAACGCATTGCACATGGATTGGTTTGCCACCCGCCGCAAGGAAAAGGAAGGACAAGGCAAAGCAACTCGTCTCTTGAAATTGGAGGGCACATACAGTATACACAAGTATCCCAGTGAGACCCTACCTAGGAGTTGGAGCCTCTAGGAAAGCAACATTCGCAGCAGCAGTAGTGGATGCTGTGCTGCGCTATGATATGTTATGCTATGCTATGCTATGCTAAGCTATGCTATGCTATGCTGCGCAATGCTATGCTGGGCTAGGCTAGGCTAGGCTATGCTATGCGATTCTGCGCAATGCTATGCTATACTATGCTATGCTATGCTATGCTGCGCTATGCTATGCTGTGCTATGCTATGCTATGCTATGTTCTGCTGTGCTATGCTATGCTATGCTGCGCTGTGCTATGCCAAGCAATGCGATGATATGATATGATATGATATGATATGATGCGCTGTGCTATGCTATGCTATGCTATGCTGATATATGCTATGTTATGCTTGGCTCTGCTATGCTATGCTATGCTGTGCTAATGCTGCGCTGCGCTATGCTGCGCTAAACTAAGCTAAAGTAAGCTAAGCTATGCTAAGCTAAACTAAGCTAAGCTAAGTTAAGCTAAGCTAGGCTAGGCGAAGCTAAGCTAAGCTAATTTAAGATAAGCTGAGCTAAGCCAAGCTAAGCTGATATGAGATGAACTAAGCTAAGCTAAGCTAAGCCAAGCTAGGCTAGGCAAAGCTAAGCTAAGCTAAGCTAAGATGAGATAAGCTAAGCTAAGCTAAGCTTAGCTAAGCTAAACTGGGTGAACCCAGGGGGCGTAACTGGGGGAACCGCGGGGCGGATCCTGGGGGAACCGCCCGGGGCGTGGAACACTGCCCGGCCCTTTAAGCCAACACGGTAACAACCCTTCTAGGCAGAGCCTAGGTAGGGAACAATCAAGAACGAAAACACACATACGGCCAGACCTAAGACGTAACCACATCCTTCAAACATATGATACCCTCCACAGGCCAAAAGGAAGAACATGCGAGGATATCATCTTATACCTCGGTCCGACCGTACTTGGGGGGCCTGCTGAGGCCAGCCAGCACTGCCTGGTCCCAGACATGCGACGTCCTGATTTTTCAGTATGCGGTCCCCGGAAATCCCTACCTTTTCTGCAGGACCAGTCTTTCATCCTGAATCGTGTTTTGATGGTCCGTGGTCCTGGGGCCCGGCGAAGGACCCCAGAGGCCGAAAATGGTCGTAAACATCCCGTTCTGAATTTGGGAATCTGGAACCTCCCTCGGGTCCGACCGCATGGGAATCTGGACACAAAAACACATACGTGCTCTACACGAACGATGGGTAACTGGACGCACCTGTCCTCATAGCCTTCGGCGCCTCAGCCCGGGCGGACACCCGACCTCAAGATCCGTGCCTTCCCGGCCCAGGAGGCAGCACGAGTTCCGCGCCCCGCGAAGCGCGATGCGGTTCGTGTTCGCCCATTGCTTGGAGGCCACCTGGAAGGGGTCCGAGCAGATGGCGTCGGGGAATCGCGCCGCATCGCTGTCGCATGGGCGATGCATCGGTGATGCGTCGGCGATGCGTCGGCAATGCGTCAGCAGCGATGCGTCGCCGAGGTCGGCGTGGAGAAAATCGTGCTCGACATCGAGCCGCATCGCCAATGCACCAGCGATGGCGATGCGGCGCGATCCGCCGACCCCATCTACCCAGACCCCATCTGGGCGGCCTGGATTGCCCGCTTCCCCTCGATGTTTGTATCCGTTCCGCCTTTGATGCAAAATGACGCCGACACGCAAGCATATCAACGAAATGGCCCAAACTAACGCCGTTTGTGTCGAGCTCTCCTTTTGTTATTTCTCTCTCTCTCTCTCTATCCCTCTCTCTCTCTCTCTCTCTCTGAGCAGGGACCGACCGTCTCGGTATTCCTATAGGCCTACAGGGAGGTTGAAAAAACAAGGAATTGAAAAAACATAGAATTCTAAATTCTAGGTTGCCGCGTAGAGATCGCAACCCCGAAGCGAGGTAAACCTAGGAATTTAGAAAACAAGAACCGGACCCGCGACGCGGCATGAAACGAAACAAGGGACGCCTTGGAACAGCATGCGGAAGATCTGGGGAAAAATCTGTTGGGAGATCTGGTGAGTGTCAAATGGAAGATTTGGCGCGGTTGCAAAGCGATACATCTGGAGGAAGATTTGGCCGAAAATCTGGGGGAGATCTGAGAGAACATCTCGGATATAATATTTGGCGGGAAGTCTGGAAGACTGGAGGGACATCTGAGGGAAGCTCTGGTGGAAGATCTGGGCAAAAATCTGGGGAATGTGCTGAAAGAATTGGCGGTGCATTGCGTCGTAAATATGCAGTAAGATTTGCGGGGATATCTCGGGAAGATCTGGAGAAATATCTGACGGAGAAGATATGGGGAAACATCTGGGGGAAGATCTGTGCGAAGATCTGGAGGGCGATCTGGGGGAAGATCTGAATCAATATCCGGGTGAAAATATTGGGGAAGCATAAAAAACTCTGCGGGACAACATCGGGAAAGATCAAAGGAAATATCTGGGTGACGATTTGGAGGAAGATCTGGGGGGAGCTCTGGCGGAAGATCTTGAGAAACATCCAGGGAACGATTTTGGGAAAGATCTGGGAGAACATCTGGGGTAAGATCTGGTGGAAGATCTGGGCAAAGATCAGGAGGAACATCTGGAAGAGGATCAGGGGAAAATCTAGGGGAAGATCAGGGGGAAGACCTGGAGGAAGATCCGAAGGGAAATCTGGGGGAATATCTGGGGGAAGATCTGGGGAAAGATCTTGGGGAAGATCTGGGGGACGATCTCGAGGAAGATCTGGGGGAAGATCTGGGGGGAGATCTGGGGGGAGATCTGGGGGGAGATCACGGGGAAGATTTAGGGGAAGATCTGGGGGAAGATCTGGGGGGAGATCTGGGGGAAGATCTGGGAGAAAATCTGGGGAAAGATCAGGGGGAAGATTTGGGGAAACATCTGGAGGAGATCTGGGGGAAGATCTGGGGGAAGATCTGGGGAAAAATCTGGGGGAAAATGCCGGGCAAAAAACCGGGGGAAAATCTGGAGGAAGATCTGCCGGAAGATCTGGGGAAGATCTGGGGGAAATCTGGAGAAGGACGCGCGGGGAAGATCTGGAACAAGATCCGAAGAGCGATCCGGGGGAAGACGTGGGAAAGATTTGGCGGAATATCTGTGGGATGCCTTGACGAAACCACACGCCCTGAAATTACCCGATACCCCTTGCATTCCTCGAGGATGCCCATCACCGTCGTCATCGTCGTCGCCGTCGCCGTCACCGTCGCCATCGCCGTCTTCGTCGCCGTCTTCGTCGCCGTCGCCGTCGCCGTCCCCGTCCACCGCCACCGCCACCGGAGTCGTCGTCGTCGTCGTCGTCGTCGTCGTCGTCGTCGTCGTCGTCGTCTGGGGGCTGTCTGGGGCCCCCCCCTGGATCGCAGTTTTACATCCCGGATCCGTTTCTGATGGCCCCGGGGCCCGACGACGGCCCCGAGAGGCCGAAAACGATGAAAAAACCATCGAACCTCAAAGCTCGAACTTCCTCCTCGGCCAAAATTCGCTCAAGATGGGTCCGCGGACCCATCCCAGGGTCGCAGCGCGCCAGCTTTTCGCGCCCCCGAAGGCCAGAAGGCCTCGAACCTCGATCCCCCAGATCTTCCCCCGAAAAGTGGGGGGAGGATCTGGGGGAAGATCTAGGGGAAGATATGGAGGAAGATCTGGGGAAAGATCTGGGGGGAGATCTGGGGGAAAATCTGTGGGAAGATCTGGTGGGAGATCTGCGCGGCGATCTGGAAGAAGATCTGGGGGAAGATCTGAGGGGAATATCTGGGGGAAGCTCTGGGGGGAGATCTGGGCGAAGACATCTAAGCGAAGATATGAGGGAAGATCTGGAGAACGATATGGAGGAAGATCTGGGGGAAAGAAAAATCTGGGGGAAGATCAGGGGGATGATCTGGAGGAAGATCTGGGGAAAGATCTGGGAGGAGATCTGGGGAAGATCTGGTGGGATCTGGGGGAAGATCTGGGCGAGGATCCGAAGGAAGATACGGGGGCAGATCTAGGAGGGGATTTGGGCGAAGATCTGGGTGAAGATCGGGGGGGGGGACTTTTTTGGGGAAAAGGAGGAGAAGATCTGAATCACGATCTGGAGGGAGACCTCAAGATCTGCGTGACGATCTGGGAGGAAATCTGTGTGAAGATCTGCGGGAAGATCAAAAGGGAACAACTGAGGGAAGATATGGGTTAAGATCTGGAGGACAATCCGTCAAACTAGGTTTTCGAGTATCACTCGCGCGATGACGGCAAGGCATGAAACAAACCACGGACTTTAAACCATATGATCTTAGAATAGGCCCGCGAGACTGAGCCGGGGCATGCCGTCCTAGTTGTTTTGAACTCCCTGTACCACGACATGTTCCTTAGAATCCCACAAATGTGCGAAAACAAAAGCAATACTCTTAGAACATAGGCCCGAGGTGCTAAAACGAAACAGTCTCAGCCAGAACTGTTCTAATAACATGTCGTGCAGATCACAGACGGTTCTTAGAACATTATTTGGTGGGCCTATAGGCGAGGACGTTTCGCCACTGCTTGAATATCAACGGAATCGCCCAAACTAAAGCCGTTTCGGTCGAACTCTCTACCTCTCTCTCTCTCTCTCTGGCCCAGGCCGCGCAGCGCGAAGCTCGCGGCAATCCTCGCGCCCTTGCGAGTGATCCCCAGCAATGGCCCCGCCCAAGGCCGCTCCGAGAGCCCGAGCTCGGTCCCCAGGCAGTCCTTCGAGCCGCGTCCGACCGCGGCAGCGAGGGCACCCACCAGGAGGCCCAGAGAAGCACAAATTATGGTTGTCCTCCTCCCTCCTGCTCCCCCCTCCTCCCTCCTGCTCCCCCCTCTCCTCCTCCTGCTCCTCCTGCTCCTCCTCCTCCTTCTCCTGCTTCTGCTCCTCCTCCTCCTCCTCCTCCTCCTCGTCCTCGCCGAGCGATCCCCACCCGAGAATGCGAGGCGTGGTTCCCAAGGAGCCTTGGGGCCTCATGGGGCCCGGCGGCCGCGGCATGCAGTCGTCATTCGTCGACGACGCGAAGCGGGATGCCCAGGTGGGACACAGTGAACCCGTAGTACACCGGAGAAAAACTCCAATCAATGGATGGCCCGACAGTTTTGCAAGGACCGTGCCCGGCCGCAGCTGTTTTACATAGGCTATACATACACACATATGGAATAAATACAGAGATGTATACCCAGAGAGAGAAAAGACATGGCACCCCGCAGGGAATAATCACAATCAAACATAATGATAATATACTAGGCATGGCATAACAAGGGGAAGCGAAAGAGGGAGACAGGTATAAATAACTACCAAGAGAGAGAGGGAGTGAGAGAGAGGGGAGAAAGATAACGATTGTATAACACAGAGAAGAAGACATCATACATAACGATTAGATCATGTATCGCGTATCGAGGAAACACGACAGAGTAAAACTGATATAGAGAGATACCAAGTGAGAAAGAAAGAGAGAGTGAGAGAGATAAACAAACCAAACCATTGAACAAGAAAGAGAGGGGGGAACGCCCACCGAAAGCACTGATGTAGAGAGGTACCAAAAGAGAGACAAAGAGAGAGAGAGAGAGAGACATGGGGCGCCCACCGACAGCCGACCACCGAGAGCCGCCCCCCGAAATGCCGAGAGGGCGCCCACCGACAGCCGACCACCGAGAGCCGCCCACCGAAATGTCGGTCGGCTACTTTCGCCAATCTTTCGAGGGGGCGCCCACCGAAGGCTGCCCACCGAGAACCGCCCACCGAAATCGGTCAGCTACTTTCGCCAATCTCTTCTATGTCCGCTAGTAAGCATTTATGGGAAAGAAGGACGGGTGGTAATGACTCAAAACCCTTGGAGGCCGCAGTTGGGAATTTTGGCCGGCGGGCGACCAAAAGGTACCCCGAGAGGCTGGCCAGTGGAAGCGGCAAAGCAAAGGACGGATCGCAAAGGCGCGCGTCCTTCCTGTGCGCGTTGCCTGTACGTATCCACCCCCGCTACTAGTCATCACCCCCCTCCCCCTGGCCGCCACCGACGAATGAGCACAAGCTGTAGCCTCACAGCCCCAACCTGTCGGGTGTTGGAGCCCCTGATCGTAAACTCTAGGTCCTAGGTTTAGGTCGGGCCTGTCCCCCTACAGGGGGGGTTTGGGGCAACAAAAACTAAAACAAATACACCAAACTAGTTAGATAATAATCAACAAATGGTCCCCATACCATTTTTGAATTGTCCTCCTGCAGAGGGACAAGCCCGACTTACTCCTATGTGGCGTCCTCTGCGTGCGACCTGGCGTGGACGCCTGCTGCTCCGATCCGCTGCACCCCCGCCGCGGACGCCGGCCTGCGGCGTGGCCGCGTCGCACGCGGAGGGCTGGAAGAGCGTCTCGTGCCCGTCGGGGTCCACGTGCCCGGGGAAGGAGGCCCGGTCCACGAACATCAGGATCGGGGTCTGCGGGCGCGCTTGTTGAGCGCACTTCTCGGCGGCGTCCTGCTCTCGGAAACCGGCCTCTGGGGCCCGTGCTCGGACCCCGGGGCCATGAGACAGGAAGCCGGGGCGATCGACGTGCCCTGTGGAAAGGGTCAGGGCTTCGTGGGCCGCGTATTGAAAGCACATCTCGTCGGATGTCTGACATGTAGCAGGCAGAGAAGAAGACGAAGGGGACGACCGCGCTACCGGTGGCGCGCTGACGCTCAGCAGTCTCGAATAATCAGGCTGCGTCCCAGATTTTCCCGTAGAAGTGACAGCCCAAGAAGGCATATGGTTCGGAGCCTGAGGGCAATTTCGAGTTTTCCCTCAGTGAGCTCATTGCCGCCATCCCATTGCCTGCTCCGCCGCAACTATGTCTTCAGTTAGCTGATTGCCACCATGCTGATGCATGCAAGGCGTCACATATGTTTGCCAACAATGAGGGTGGGTGGACGGGGGGCTGCGCGAGGCATGGACCCGTAAACGGAGCAGAACACTATGTTGGCAGAAACGATATTCACCTCTCCCGTCGGCGGATAATGCACTCGGCCCGTGCTATGCAATGATGCGGCGAAAACGTCGCATCATGTGCTAAATGCGATTGCTCGCTCACCCTCCTCGTCTTCGTCATCCCTCTCCTCCTCCTCCTCCTCCTCCTCCTCCTCCTCCTCCTACTCCGCCTTCCCCTCCTACTCTCTTCTCGCCTCCTCCACCCCCTTCTTCGTCCTCTACCCCATCCCCATCCGGCTCCTGGACATCCCGCAAAAGGTTCCTGACTCGTGGGCGCTGACTTGGAGACGCAGGACGTAGCGTAAGCGCCACTCCCTGTCACCCAAGTGTCGTCCTTGAGGTTCTCAAGGCTCTCGAGGATCGTGCCATGGTGGAACAGCATCCTGCATTTGGGCAACTCTGCAGGGGGCCTACGGAGACCTCCGGAGACGCGCTGGGGACCGCCAGTGACGTCCCGAGACCTCGATCAAACCGCTCGCATTGTCGTTGCCCCTCAAATCGGCCCCGCTCGGTGGATGATCTAGGGGGGTCGCCGTGAGGGCGCGCAGTCGCATCGTCGACGCCATGTGCAGGCGGGCGCACCATCGAACCAATCAAATCGCGGACAATCCTGTCCCCCAAACCTGCCTGCTCCTCCCTTCCCCTTCCGCAGCCCTCCGGGCTGGCTCTGGCCTGGGGGGCCTCCCTTCCCCTTCCGTGCCCTTGGGAAATGGTCTTGGCTTCTCGGACAGCAGAGACAAATTAGGGGAACGAACAATTACATAAACATAAAAACTGAGAGGTCCGAGCGGATTTCTCGGATCGGCGCTGGACCCCCTTCCTGGCGCGCGGAGCGCGCCAGGGGCGGCGTCGGAGGCGCCACCAGGGGGCCCCAGCGCCGATCCGAGAAATCTGCGCGGACCTCTCAATTTTTATGTTTATGTCATTCTTCGTTCCCGTACAAATGTGAGTGGCACGCCGGTCGGACGACCACCTCAGCGACCTACTGCTGAACAAAAACGACCAAGCCTTTGCGCAACAACAGAGGCCTTCTAGATGGGTCCGAGTAGATGGGGTCGGAGGATCCCGCCGCGTCGCCGATGCATCAGCGATGCATCGGCGATGCATCTGCGACGTCGGCGATGCATCGGCGACGTCGGCGTGGGAAAATCAGGCTCCGCATCGCGCCGCATCGCCGATGCATCGGCGATGCGGCGCGATCCTCCGACCCCGTCTACTCGGACCCCATCTGGGTGGCCTAGAGATGCGCAGACATTGGAAGACGACGCGCGTGTCGTCGACACATGCTATCACTCCCGAGCGGTGGTCAGGGGGGGCCCTTCCTGGCGTCGGACTCGAGGGAAAGCTGGCCCAAGTTAGCAGACCCGGCTCGGCCCGGGCCGGGTGTCGCGGACCAGGGCCTGCCACGGCGTGGCAGCCCACCCAGTACAGCGCTTCGTGGCCCCATAGGGAGCTCAACCGAAGGCCCCAGTGGTTTCCCTCGCATGCGGTTCCCCCACCCAGTACAGCGCATCGTGGCCCCATAGTGAGATCCACCGAAAGCCCAAGTGGCTGCACTCGCATGCGATTCCCCCACCCAGTACAGCGCTTCGTGGCCCCAGAGGGAGCTCCACCGAAGGCCCCAGTGGCTGCACTCGCATTCGACGCATCGGCGATCCATCGGCGATGCATCGGCGACGTCGGCGTGGAGAACGACGGGCTCCACATCGAGCCGCATCGCCGATGCATCTGCGATGCAGCGCGATTCTCCGACCCCATTCGCTCGGACTCCATCTGGGAAGCTGGGAGGCCTAGAGTCGTGAAGCCACCAAGCTGCCTCAACCGCATAGTGCCCGGGAGCGGAATTGAAGCGTCAAGCCACGCAAAATGGCTGTCCTGTGGCGGACTTCCTCTGTCCCCCCTGTCGGGCGCGGCCTAATCGACCCCAAGCAAACCATCCCCTTCCGTGACGTCATCCTCGCCTTTCAAACTGCCCTCCGGCCACATACACACGTCCTGGGGCGAGGCGAGGGGGACGTCACGGAAGGGGATGGCCGCCCCTGACTTTGGGGCCCCAGAGGGCCCCTTCACACAAGGTGCACTTCTCTTCGCCCCCCTATGCAATCCGCCAACCCCATCACGCCACGCCCGAAGTTCGGGAGCGGCCAAGAGGGGGGGTGTCCAAAAGGATGGGGTGCAAATCATGACCGGCGGCACGTGCGCGGCCCAGCGCGGGGGCCAGGGACGTAATGAAATAAGAAGAGGCGCCTGAAACCTGGGGAAATATCATGGCCCCCGCCATGAGATCCACCACCCCCTAGTCATCACCCCCCTCTTTGCCGCCCCCGAGAAGTGGGAGGCGCCCAGGGGCCGCCGGGGAGGCCCGCGAGGCCCCCCAAAGAGGCGCCCCAAGGCTCATCGACTGCTAGGGAGAGGCGGGGCATATCCGCGAGCCTCGGGGCGGAACATGTCCTCCGCGGTCGCCCTGGCAGAGCCCGCGGCCATCTCCGACCGGAAGAACTCCTCCTGCGTGGTCTCCATGGGGCTCTCGAGGGGACCTGGCGCACGAGGCGCGCGCCCCGCTACCGCGAGCTCCATCTGGCCATCGCGCGGACGTCCATTTCCTGTGTTTTTTTCGGTTTCGTGCGTTGTTTTTTCGCCAAATGATCAAGGATGCTCCTCGATGGTCCTCGCCGAAGGAAAAATGCACACGTCCGAGCGATGCCAAGCCATTGTGCCCCATCCGAGGCTCGGAGGACGCGAGCCATACGCCCGCACCCATTGTGGCCAGGCCGACCCAGGGCCCAGGACCGGTGCACGCGCCGTGCCCGCCAAGGCAGGAGGACAGGTCCACCGATCCTGGGCCAAGGCCGGCCTGGCCGAGATCGGTGCAGGCGTTCAGTCGGTGCCCAACCCGTCCAAGCATCGGGGCAGCAACTGATTGGCGGGTCCTGTTAGCCCTGAAACCCTGGAGCCAAACAAGACATATCTTGGACACGATATTCACTTCCGCCCACCTTCAGCCGGCATCCGCAAGCGGAGTCACCCCCGTTTTGCTTCCGCCGGCCTTCCGCTGGGGAAAAGATTCCAACATCCTGATCCCCCGAAGCACGGCCCTTGCTGGATTACTTCTCCACCACGGTGCAACGACAGTGCCACCCTGTGAAACACAACATAGTGAAGAGACGGCTGGCCTGGCAGACGAGGAGCGAAACGTGCAACGTCCCTCGACGCAGGCGAGGGTCTTCGTGGTCAGAGGCAACTCCTGGGATGCCTGCGTAAGAAAAGAAGCAGGGCTATTAAGCCAACGTGATGTTCCACTAAGCCGAGTTAGACTTGATTCAACCCAATGAAGAATGAGATCATTAGGCCTGTTGTCGACCACGGGTGTACCAACGCCGAGGCTGACTGAATGTGGCCTCCCATGAATTGCATCCTAATGCCTGGAACGCCTCAAGCTCGCCTCGCGCGTTCGATCCCCGAGGCGGAGAGCTCGATGATTACGCCGCACGGAAGGGGTGTCGCACCCTAAGATGATGGCAAAATGAGGATCAGATCGGGTGAACATGGATCGGGATGTACCGGATGCGAGGCGAGAAGATACCCATATCTCCCGCCTGGCGAACGTCCTGGGAATCCAGCGAGCGGTGGATTTGGCCACTTGGGCCCACCAGAATCCAACGATATCCAGATCCACCGCCTGCCGAGGTCCCCGAAGATCAATCTCACAAGCGTGGGTCATGGATGCATTCGGCCCGGGCGAAAGGGGGGGATCGCAAAGGGGGGGTTTGAGAATCAGCTCACGTAGCTGATTTTCCCAGCGCCTCCCGGCGTCAGAGGCGCGCATGTATCGAGGAATGGGCCCCTCGGCGGGGCCGAAACCAGCTGCATGCAGCAAATTCCGTAGCCCCCCCTTTCCCAATCCCCCCCTTTCGCCCGGCCCGAGAAATCCGCGCCTTTCTGGATGATGTGTCGGGCGCCACGGCCGTTGCAGAGCGTCCCGGAACGCTCGGAGAGAGCGTTCCAGAACGCTCTGGAACCGCGCATCCTCATCTCAAACTCGGCAACTACAATGGGTTCGGTTTGCGAAGGGTGCTGTTTGCCTCCCGTCATATCTGCCCCTCCCGCCCCCGTGAAACGGATGACATTGTCACTCAATGCGACCGGATTACATGACACTGTCGCTCCTTCTAGTACAGTGGAGCACACATCGAGGATAACAGTGTCGCTCGAAACGACGACAGTCTTGACATTGTCTCTCACAACAAAGGCCCAGGCAAAGGCCGCCACAAAGCAACTCGCAAACCGCACCCCGGCATAACCGCACCAATTGTAGTCGCCGACACACCTGCCGGACACCTGCCCTGGACGAACCGACGCCGTCCGGCACACGACAAGTCCCGTGTCTTCCGTGCGGCAGGTTGTGCTTTGTTTCGTTCCCGGCGTCTGTTCTTGCTCTCGGTTTACGGGATCCGCTGCACCCAGCGGGCCCCCAAAGACGGACTGGGAACGAAAAGTCGACTCTTGGGCAGAGAAGGGGATCTCTGGGGGCGCGGACTGACAAGTCACATCGCCTGATGTCTGGGCATGGATCCCCTGGGTGGCCTTCTGCCCATCCTGCCGCCGTGCCTGGGTTGTCTGTCTGAGACCTCTTGAACGCCTTGTCGGGTCTCTGGGGAAGCCTCTTCGGGCGCCTCTCGGGGCCTCTTGTGGGTCCTCTCGGGTCCTCTTGGGGAGTCCTTGGAGGCCTGCTGGCGGTCTTCGGGGTCCTCTTGAGGCGGAGGCCTCGAAATGTAGGTTCGAATTCCCCCCCGGGGCCCCTCTTGGGGCCCTCTTGGGTGGTCCTGGGTGCCTCTTGGGACGTCTTTGGGCCATCTTGGGGACCTGCTGGGCCGTCTTCGGGCTCTCTTGGGGGTATCTAAGGCCGCCTTGGACGCTGCGGAAATAAAAACAGATTTGCTAGAAATGCGTATTGTATTGAAAAAAGAATAGGACGATGTTTTCCCCTTGGGTCATCTTCGGGGTCCTCTCAGGCCGTCTTCACGCCATCCAGAGCCGTCCGGAAGCCATCTTGGCCCGTGTGCGACCGATTTGGAACCTCCCCGGAAGTTCTAGGGAGCCAAGCAAGCTCCGGGGGAGCCCTAGGGGGGGAGGGGAAGCATAATGTTGTTCAAATGCACCTGGTGTGTTGCGGCCCCGGGGGACCCTGGGGCCGGGGTTCCCGCGCACGAAAGATTCGGCCTCTGGGGGCATCCAGGGAACATCGGTACTCTCTGGCGGTCTTTTGCCCGATGGCTGGATGATTGTGTTTCACGAATGGGTCCACAATCGAACAGCGATATCCCGAGGCGAATTCAGCCGTGGAGCCGCGGCCCCCCTGGAAGCCACGAAAGGATGCGAAAACGGGGGATGCAGAGGCATTGACTGGGAGTTCTTCGTAGTACAGTCAACCCGTATAATAATGATGCGCGGTAAGGATGCAAGGGCCTCGGAGGACCATGTTCACGTTCTTCGCACGAGGCTGGCCCGCGAGAGTCGCTAAGGATGGGCCGAAAGAGCAATGATGCAAGGGTAACTTTGGAAAGTCGCCCATCCTTACTATGTGGGTCAACTCTACTGATACAGGGCTACGCCAAGGTACACTGCCAGGTTAAGGATTTCAACTGGGAATCGGGCCCAAAAAGACTGGATCAAGTCGGATCGGGCCGAACAAGACTGCATCGAGGCGGCCTTCGACCAAGGATCTGCCAGTGCCGATGCTGACTCTGCCCATCGGTCGGAAGAACTCGGCAGACGCACAGAACAGGAAGGCGCCCGAAGTACACTGGATTGGCGCCCGACCCTGAGGAGGAAGGGAGAGGAGGTAGGAGGAGGAGGAGGAGGAGGAGGAGGAAGATGCAAGTGGCCGCGCCGCCGCGCGATGATTGAAGTTGGAAGGCGCCTGGGGTATGTTGGAATCTGGGCCTCCCCAAATACACACTGTCAGCGACGGATGCGTAACCATCCTGGAGCTGCTGGAGAACTCAGAGGGGCGGGATGGGACAACAGCCAAACGCCTGGCTTCTGGAAGCCAAGCTTCTCATCCACACCCGACCCCACTGGTGCCCAGTGTGGGGGGAGGCAAGGGGTATGGAACGACAGTTGACAACAACACGTATATCTATATAGATACATCACGCGCGCTTCGTGCGCGCTCGAGTTCTAGCTAGGCTAGATTGTCGAACTCTCGGGAACTCTCATCTTATGATACCTCTTCTCTGGGAGTTCCAACAACCACGAAGGCGGCCCAAGTGGCTTCCAAGAAATCCGACGGTCCACCCACAGGGGGCCTAAGGCATACCCAACTTCGGGGGCCCTTCTCTTCGCCGCGGCTGGACGTAGCCGGAGGGAGAGGCAGGAACAGGGTACTTAGGTGAAGGGGCTCCCTGGGGAGGAGGAGGAAGGAGGAGGCCGCAGAGGAGAAGGAACAGGATGAGAAGGAAGAGGAGGAAGAGGAGGAGGAAGATGGAGAGGAGCAGGATGAGGGGAGGACGAGGAGGAGGAGGAAGCCTAGAGGAGGAGGACCAGGAGCAGGAGGAGGAAGGGGAGAAGGAAATGTGAGATGTCTATGTCTTGCAATCGCAGCCAAGCCGCCGGGCGAACCTGAGCCAAAACAAATAATGTTGGAATTCCCTCCTTTTGTCAAGTGCCCCAGGGTCCTCTGTTGGGGCTCTTTTGGGGTCTTTGGGGGTTCTTGGGGACCTCTTGAAGCCTCCTGGGGGTCGTGCGGGACCTGCGCTGAGAGTGTGTTTTGCTGGGCCACAGGATCGCTGCTGTCATTGTGCCCTGCGCAGCTATGCAGACTGCTCCCACTGCAGTGGACGAGCAACACCAAGGAGCTCACTGTTGCAGTCAACACCTGCGCTATGGACTTCTGTTGAATTTGCTCGCGTAGTGCGTTTTCGGGATGGTATGGCTCTTGGACAAAAAAATGGTTACGGAGGCCATCTTGGACCGCCCATTGGGGGCCTATCGGGCCGTTTTGGGGCGGTCTTGGGTTGGGGGCCTCTGGAGCCAACTTGGAGCGTCGGAAGCCCATAACGCGAGAACGCGAAACACATAGAAAACATAGGGGGGATCACTGACTGTTGCCTCTTTGGGCCCTCTTGGTGGTCCTCTGCGCTCTTGGGGCTTCTTTGGGGGCCTCTTGGGCCCTCTTGGGGTCATCGTGGGCGTCTTGGAGCGCTTTTGGGCTGTCTTGGAGGCCCCTTGGACCCTATGTGGTGCTTTCTGGGGCCCTCTTGTCCCGTCTTGGGGTCCCCTTGGCCTCTCTGGGCCGCCTCTGGGAAGCGAGCCGGGAGGGTATCAAAGCATGTCCCCGGACGGCTGCGGACTGGGCGCCCCCAGGCTGGGGGGGGGGGGGGGGGGGCGAGTTGTTGTATATCATATATGCATGTCTGCAAAGGGGCCCTGGGGCACACAAGTCAGTAGACACGAATCCTAAGATTCCCTATATCTTCCCATATTTCCTGGGTTTTGTCGTCTTCCCCCCTTGCTGCCCATGGTTGCCCCGATTTCCCGACGAAGGTATCTATACACCACCACCGTGCCAGGCCAGGGCCATCCTGGGCCCTAGGATGCTGTGTAGACCCTCCAGGCTTCGGCCAGGAGGGCGTACACACCATCCCAGGGCCAGGATGGCCCTGGCTTGGCACGGTGGTGGTGTCTAGACGCCTTCTGCGTACTCCAGATTTTGTAATAAAAGGGAGGGGGTCTCAACCCTCCCAGACGAGAAGTTTTAGACCCTCCCAGACCATCCATGAAAGGGCGGCCCTTTGCCCAGACCCCCCCGAACCCTCCAAGGCAGATCAAATCAGACCCCCCCCAAATGTGACCCCCCCGACTTTAATTATGGCATCCGGAGTATATTTCCCGGGGGAATCGACGAGTCATTGTGTCTGCTTGTTTTCGCCCTCCTCGCGCCACGCAGAGCTCGCGCCCGGCCGCGGGGGGGAACCGCTGCGGGCGCCCACGGGCCATGAAAGGCTACGCTCCTCCCTGCGCCTCCGCCGCCGCCATCGCCGTTGCAGCGTTGCGCCTGAGGAGAAGGAGGCGAGGAGGAGGGGGAGGAGGAGGAGGAGGAGGAGGAGGGGCGGCCTGAGGGATGCGGGCGAAGACGGGCCCAGGCGATCCCGATCCGCCCAGGCCCTGAGGCGTAGAGACAATGGGGAAACTGAAACGTTCGTTAGAACAGCAGGTTTCCCCACCTCTCGCAGACTCCCCGGGCCTCCCCTCTTTGTGTCCTCTCCTTCCCCCTTCGGCTGCCCTTTGCTCAAGGCTTGTCGTGAGCCTTGGATTTCCTGTTCGAGGTCCCACCCACCCACGCCATAAAAAGGTGGTGCGGGACCCCAGCCGAGTTTGCTCGGCCGCACTCGCCGCATAGCGGTTGGTGCGACGGCCCCTTCCACGGGGGGCCACCCTCCCCGGCGCGGAGGCGACAGGCGCCTTGCGTGGGAAGGGGGGTCAATGGCCCGCGCAGCGTGAGGCCACAGAGCTCGCGCCCGGCAGCGGGAGGACCGCTGCGGGCGCCCACAGGCCATGAAAGGTTGCGCTCCTCCCTCCTCGCCTCCGCCGGGGGAAACCTTCTTGACGGCTGGAACCAGCGATGCACCACTTCAGCCACCAAGCCGGCTCCAACATAACCCAACTAGGTCTTTCGACCGCCCCCCCCAAGAGCGGACACCAATTATCGTTTCGACGCCCTTATTGGCGGACTGGGGTTCCATCAATCGTGGAGAATAATTGTTTCTCCGCGGTACCCGCAGCGCATCAACGAGGGAGGAGGAGGGGGGGAGGAGGAGGAAGAGCTGGAGGAGAAGGAGGAGCTGGCGGAGGAGTGACCCGCTCTATATTCACCGCCGAGAGACACAGGGGGGCAGCAAAACTAAAGAACTCCTTCGAAACCAGTGGCTCTTCTGTGCTAATCTGATCGGCGGTGGACAAACCCCCCTTCAATAAACCTCCCCCTAGCGAAAACGGCCTAAGACCGAAACCGACGGACCTGGACCTGCAACAATGACGGCCGCGACGCCATCTCGCGAACCAAAAACGGCCGATTCCTTAATCGACGAGTCAGGGTAGGAGGTTTATCAACCTCCGATCTTAGCCCTCACTCGGGGATCTTCAGACCCGGGTCAATCCAGACCCGGGTCAGCCAGAAACCAAATATTATCCCTATCCCAGTGCGGCACTACCTAGGAGTTGGAGCTTTTAGGAAAGCAACATCTACATCTACACCGAGAGCTACATGTATATCTACAGCTGCATCTACATGCCGTCTACTCTGCGCTATGCTATGCTATGCTATGTGATGCTATGCTTTGCTATGCTTTGCCATGCTGCGCTATGCAGTGCTGTGGTATGCTATGCTATGCTAGGCTACGCTCGGCTGCGCTGGGTTATGCTATGCTATGATAATGCTATGTTATGCTGCGCTATGATCTGCTGTGTTATAATATGCGGCGCTATGCTATGCTATGATATGCTGCGCTATGCTATGATATGCTAGGCTATGATATGATATGCTATGCTGCGCTATGCTATGCTATGCTATGTTATGATATGATATGCTATGATATGATATGCTTCGCTATGCTATGCTATGCTATGATATGCTGTGCTATGTCATGATGTGCTGCGTTGTGCTACGCTAAGCAATATTATGCTATGCTATGCTATGCTATGCTATGCTGCGCTATTCTATGATATGCTATGATATGCTATGCTGAGCTATGCTATGCCATGCTATGCTATGCTTGGCTATACTATGCTATGCTATGCTGTGCTAATGCTGCGCTGCGCTGCGCTATGCTGCGCTGTGCCGCGCTGCGCTAAGCTAAGCCAAGCCAAGCTAAGCTAAGATGGTATGATATAAGCTAAGCTAAGCTAAGCTAAGCTAGGCTAGGCACAGCTAAGCTAAGCTAATCTAAGCCAAGCCAAGCTAAGCTAAGCTAAGCTAAGCTGGGTGAACCCAGGGGGCGCAGCTGGGGGAACCGCGGGGCGGATCCTGGGGGAACCGCCCGGGGCGGTTTACACTGCCCGGCCCCTTTAAGCTCAGAGAGTAAGAACCCTTCTAGGCAGAGCCTAGGTAAGGACAAACTGCAATGCAGGAAAAAACTGCAACGCAGGTCTTCGCAAACCCAGGTCAGCCAACATGCGCGGCCGCCTCGCGGCCACGAGCGGCTCGCTGACCCAGGTCAGCCAAAGGGGGTCTTCGCAGGATCCTGCATGATCCGGTGCCCTGGCTAACCCCAGTTTGCACTGACCCCCGTCTCTTGGGCCCCGACTCACGCCAGCTGTGCACGCTCCGGCCTCGGGCCCTCCCGAAGCAGCGAGGGGCGGGCGCGCCGGGCAAAGGGGGGCGCCCACCCCGGTCGAGGCTCGCGGGCAGCCAGGTGGAGGCCGTGGTGTTCATCGGCGCCTCGCGCAGGCGCAGGGGAAAGCCCGCCGCAATCGGACGTGGGACGGAAGAGCATCCTTGAAATTGGGCGCGAAGTATTGGGGGGGGGGAGGAGGGGGGGAGAGGGGGGGGGGCGGGGGGGACGGGGAAATGGGGGGGGAGAAAGGTGCCCGTTTTGGGGCCATAAAGGGCCTCTTTGGGGCCCTGAAGGGCACCTCTAAGGCCCCTTTCTGCCTTAACGGGCGGGCCCTGAAACACCCTTTTTGCAGCCCTCGCTCTCCCCTCCTCCACATTACGCGTGGCCGAACCAACAACGTGGGACCCTCCGCTGGCCAAACTGAAGAACATCTAAGGACACACTCCCCAGGATGCGCAAGACCATCCGACAAACACGAAAAACACCACGGTACCCTCGCCGAAACGACCTCGATCTTATACCTCCGTCCGACCGTATGCGGGGCAGGGATCTGTGCACAACTACCGCCTGCGGATCGGTCTTCGGGGACCTCGACAGGTGGTGGACAGGAAAACACTTGGCCAAACCTTAGACCAAACTGTATCCATGTCCACGCCGAGAGCCCCTGAAGATCGATCACCCTGGCGGTGGTGATGGGCAAATCCCCGCATCGGATGTTCCAGATTCGACCATGGACCTCTTGTGCACTACCCACCGTCCTTTGCCAATCTTCTAAGCTCTTAGGCGGTCTCCTGACGGTCTCCGGCGCGGAAGCTGTACGGCTCGTTCACGAATGGGGTCCATGATCGAACGCTGTCGCACACCGAAGGCATGGAGGCTCCGAGGCTCCTGGAGAGCCGTGCCACGAGCACTGAACATGCCCGAACCCACCCATGAGATCGCGGTCGAGATGCCAGAAGCGCGGTTTCTGTGGATGCGTGATCAGACGAAATCATGATGATGATATATTCGGATGAAGATCAATCGGGAATCCCCGAGAGACGGCGGGTCTGGGAGACCTATCGGACGCCGCGGCCGATTCGAAGCGCTCCAAGCCGCTCTGAAAGCGCTCCGGCACGCTCCGGGAAGCATATTCCCACCCTGGGCCGCCTAAGCCTGCATGGCGAACGGATCCATGACCATGCGATCACGGCTTGATACAAAATCGCGACTTCCCCAGATATGGAATCCCATAGACACGTTCGGCGCAAGACATGCGTGCAAAACCGGCCTAGATCCAATCCACTGGGTCGTGGCCAACAAGTCTGGACCGCGAAACCGTGTACGTTTTCCGCCCGTGACGTGCGCAATTTTTGGACGGTGTGGTCGAAACCACGCAGCCCCCCCACTTTCACAAAATACAGCAACACAAAAACACGCAATCATCTGATCGGAAAAGACATCGAAACGGAAGGACCACTGAGTCCCAACAACAAGCATGGTGGTTTCAGTGGCCTGGACGACTGACGGCGGACGGAAACGAAAGATATTGTGGGCCCTTGCCAACAGAAGAGAACAACGCGATGAACAGGTACGTCTCAAAAACGGATCTGAGATGCGCACGTGCTCGACGCCGAACGTGGAACCGACCGAGACAGAAAATGGTGGGCCCACGACGCGTCCTCTGTCCGAAGGCTGACCCTTCGAGGCAGGGAATGGGACACAACAAGAAGCCCCCCAAGCAAACACCCTTGCCTGGAGGCAGGCCAGCCGCGGGCGGGGAGCGGCGTGTGAGGGGGAGTGGGGCACCCTGTTGAGGAGGAGCAGCATCTACATGTGCCAAGACGTGCGCGTGGTTGTCCCGCGGCTGTCGCGCGGGGGCCCCGCGGTTGCCCCGTGGCTGTCCCGTGACTGTCCCGCTGCTTGTCCCGTGGTTTCTGGAGCGTCGTGTATTTCTGCTCGCCATCGCGGCCACGACCGCCCCCGCCCGCCCCCCTCCCGCCTGGTAACGTTACGATCCGTGCTGATGTCCGAACTGTCTGTGGTGTCTCCTCGACGTTGCCAGGCGTCGCCGGCGAGAAACGTGACGTTATCGGCCCAGGCCCCGCCCCCCGTCCCCCTCCCCTCTCCGGTAAGGCGCGTTAGACAGGGAATACCTTACCCAGTGACGTACCAAACCGTTGTAGCAGATGGCGACTATACTGAGGACCGCTCACTACAAGGAGCCCACGAAGTTGGCGACAATTTCACACTTCGCAAGCTCTCCAAGGGAGCCGCGAAGTCTCACCTGGGTCCCCGTACAACTCCGCTCCGCTGGACTTCCCAAGTACCCGCGAAAGAAACTATAATTTCACACTTCGCAGCCCCCCAGGGAGCCGCGAGGTCTTAACTGGGTCCCGGTACATCTACATTCCACTGGACCTGCCCGGGACCCACGAAAGTGGCGACAAATTCATACTTGGTAGCCTCCCAGGGAGCTGCGAAATCTCAACTGGATACCTGTGCAACTCCACTCCGCGCGACCTCCCAGGAGCCCACGAAAGTACCGCGAGTTCAACTGGGTCCCCGTACAACCCCACTCCGCGCGACTTCCCAGGATCCACCGAACATTGCGACAATGTCACACTTCGCAGCCCCCCAAAGCGCCGCGAGGTGTCAACTGCGTCCCCGAATAACTCCACTCCGCGCGACCTCCCAGGAACTCACGAAGGTGACGACAAATTCACACTTGGCAGCACCCCAGGGAGCCGCGAGGCGAGGTGTCAACTGGGTCCCTGTGCAACTCCACTCCGCGCGACCTGCCAAAAACCGACGAAGAGTGGCGACGATTTCACACTTCGCAACCTCCCCAAGGGAGCCGCGAAGTCTCACCCGGGTCCCCGCGCAACTCCACTCCGCGCCACCTCCCAGGACCCTACAGAAGTGGCGACAATTTCATACTACGCACCCCCCCAGGGAGCCGCGAGGTCTCAACTGGTTCCCCGTGTGACTCCACTCCGCGCGACTCCCTTGGAGCCCACGAAAGTAGCGACAGTTGCGCAGGTCGCAGCAACCCAAGGAGCATCGCAGGAGGAAACAGCAAGAATGGGGAGGAGAAGATGAGCCGTGACACCAGCGCTCCAGCCAAAACGAGAACCCAACACTGGAGGGTCGGGACAAAACGCTCTCAACCATATCCCGATGCAGCGCGGCGACGAGGGAGGGGCAACGGCATCGGTCATCAGATGCCCAACTCGGAAAGGAAGGAACGGGCGTTATGAGAATTTGTTTGATGCTGGAAAGGCGGCTTTGAAGAGGGCCCCAGGACACACAAATACATACACACAAGTAAAAATATGTCCCATATTTTCACATATGTTCTGGGTTCCTGTCTTCCCGCACACTTCCCATATTTTCCCATATTTTCTGGGGAATCGGCGATTAATTGTGTCTGTGTGTTTTTTCCCTCCTGAAAAAGCCCCGCGCCTGTCTTACCAAGCCACCTCGGCTCGCCCCGCGCCCGCGCGATCGCTGGGCGACTGGGGGTCGATGCATCGTCCCTGCGCCTGTCCTCCTCGAACGTTACCCCATAATTACCAGCCTCGAACTTATCCCTATCCCTAAGATTGACACGCCAAAAGGCGATGACAATCGTAGGGATTCGCCCTCAAAAATAAGGGAATCCCTAAGACCTAAGATTGGCATCGTGATGAGGAGGTGCCCAGCATAGGGATAGGGATCTGTTCCCGGCTGGTAAAATAATCGTTTGTGCAATCGGAGATCGTCCGTACTTTGCGGCGTTGGCCCGGGCTTTGTCCGAACTTCGTGGGGGGGGCGCGGGAGGTGCCGGCCGATTGCCTAGTGTTCTCGCGTCGGGCAGCCTGGCGTCTGCCCGCGCGCACCAGCATTGCGTGCGTACCCCCTTCGGACCTGCTCAGCCGACAAGGTCAAGTTATCACGGGCGGGGGAGCGGGCGGACCAGATAACAAGGGCCATGGCCAGTCCCTTCGGGAGCGGCCAAGGGGGGGGTGTCCAAGAGGGGGGGGTGCAAATCATGACTGGCGGCATGTGCGCGGCCCAGCGGGGGGGCCAGGGACGTAATGAAATAAGAAGAGGCGCCATGAAATCTGGGGAAATTTTATGGCCCCCGCCATGATATCCACCCCTCCTAGTCATCACCCCTCTCTTTGCCGCCCCCGATCCCTAGACTACAAATCTCTCACTCGGCTCTCCAGCGGCCGTTCGGGACGATCCGGGCACCCCTGGAACGCTCTCGGCGAGGCGCAATCGCTGAAGCAAGGGCTCCGAACTTCGCGCTTCGCGCTGCGCGAAGCGCGAATAACTTCGCGCTTTCGCGCCGCCTCCCAGGGGAGAAGAGGAGGATGAGGAGGAATCGGAGACGAACCGCGAAGCGCGAAGAGCTTCGCGCCCTCGAGGGCGCCCTTGCTGAAGGCATCCCGCAGCTGGACAGCCGCCGAGAAGCGACCGAGAGCGTCCGAGAACCTCGAGCCTGTTGCCTCCCTCTGAGCCTGTCCCTCCCTGGGCTGCCGTTGACTCTCGCGCTACGCTACGCTACTCCCGATCGGCCCGAAGGCTGTGCCAATCTAGAACTCGGGGGGGGAACAAAAAAACTTGGCCCGTGTCTCTGGCACCCAGGCAAATGTGCGATCGACTTACATGGATTGATTCACGGGCAGACAGGAGCGGGGAGCGGGGGGGGGGGGACGGGAAGGGAAGGGGGCGCCGCCGCCAAAACGTGCATGAGCAGCGCTCCGAGCTGAGCTCGGTGCCCGGTGCCGCGCTCAGTCACTGCCCAGCGTAATTCCCAAGGGCTTTTCTTTGGGGGAGCGAAGGAGGACATAAACAGAAAATCTCGGAGGTCCGCGCCGATTCCTCGGATCGGCGCCGGACCCCCCTCCGTGGCACGCGGAGCGCGCCAGGGGCGGCGCAGGAGGCGCCGCCAGGGGCATCCAGCGCGGATCCGAGAAATCCGCGCGGACCTCCGAATTTTTCCCTACCTAGGCTCTGCCTAGAAAGGTTCTTACTCGCTAAGCTTAAAGGGCCGGGCAGTGTTCCACGCCCCGGGCGGTTCCCCCGGCATCCGCCCCGCGGTTACCCCAGGATCCCCCCGCGCCCCCTGGGTGAG